TTTGAAGTTTCATAAATTGCATTTATTTACATAAAATTACCAAAAAAACTCAAACATTTGTAACCGACTACGAAAAAGGGGTAGGTTATCAATTCGTCGGAATAGTATGCTAACGCATAACTTTGGACCACGTGATCCGATTTCAAAAATTTTTTTTTTTTTTTTCGGAAAGATGGTACCTAAAGGGTCTTCCCGTAATTTGAAATTACTTGTTTAACATAAAGTTCTATAAACACAAGATGCGCTCAACTTGCAAAAGTAATAAAAAAATTAAAAAAAAAGAGTTTCAATGTTCATTTTCCTCGATATCTGGTTTCTGGTTTTCGAATGAGATGGTGATTTTTTACGATTGCCTAATTTTTTTAATATTTCGAATACCGAGAAAATTAAATGAACTTGAATTTTTGTTATGTAGGCAATTTTGGTGGAACGAATTCGAAGTGGGCAAATTAAATCTTCGAATCCTTGTTAAGGACATATCAGTTGTAAACTCTTTTAGACTCAGTAAGTGAGTATGCATTGCATATTTTTAGGTTTCATTCGCAGTTAAACTTTTAAGAGCTCTCAAAAAAAAAACGAAAAATTCATATAAAATGGCGCACAAGAAATGGAATAGGAATTTTCTTCTATCAAAATTTCTTAAATCAATTTGCATCTCTCAAGAAAAAAATGCTCGTATATTTATTTCTTCAAGAAAATTTACAGCAAAAGCAAAGTGCTTTATAATAAAAAATATTTCTTGTGATTTTTCGAGAGAGCTGGCTTTAGGATACAGTTTGTATTTCAGGTTATTAGCTTTAGGGGGGGTTTGAACCCCAAAACCCACCCCTTGTGTGCGCTAATGCGTATATGTATATAGTAAAAACTAATATAAAACTAACTACTATTTATCGAATAGTTTTACGCGTTTTATAAGTAATTTTTTAAATTATGCCATCTGGCTCCTCAGTAATAGATCGGAACAAACAGAAGCAAAGGCAAAAATCCATTTCCAGAGAAAGGGAAGCGACTAAAAAATAAAGATTAGAAGATAATTCACATAAAAATGAATCTTATATTTTCATAAAGCCTCTTACTTTATCATCATCATCATCTATCAATCCACCGAAAAATCAAACCGCCAGGATCATCAATGAACCTACTAAAGATTTTCCAAATGAATCCAATAAGGAATATTATTTTTATGACAAAGATTGCAAAGGACCTTTTATTGTATGTACTGACACCAAACCTAATCTAGAAGGAAGAAAACCCAATAACGCTATTACGGTAACAAAATTATTATTAAAATTAAATTATATCGATGTAGAGGACGTATTAAAGGTAGGTTACGGCAGAACTAAAATTATATGTAAAAATTTTCAAACCGTAATGAAATTTGCAAAGATAAAAGAATTATTCAATAAGGTTATGATCAAAAAATACTAAGTTATAATATTTCTAAAATGGGTAAAATTTTTAACATACCAACAGAAATTTTAACTGATGAAGTATATATTGAAATACATTCTCCAATTCCAATTTTAAAACTAATTAGAATAGAAAGAAGGGATAAAGACGACAAAGATTTGAAAATACCAACAAAAAGAATGAAAATTATTTTTAAAGGTTTAGAAATGCCAAAATTTATAAATTATAGTTATACTAAAATTGAAGTAAAACATTTTATTTCATTTTCTCAATGTTATCGGTGTTTTCGCTTTAACCATTATGCTCAAAATTGCAAGGAAAAAGAATCAAAATGCAAAAAAGTATTTTCAAATTCAAAATATTAATGAATTTTGTGAGCCTATTATCTGTTTTAATTGGAAACACCATCATCCCCCAGCTTATAAACAATGCCCAGCAAGATTAAATGCTTTCATAATACGAAGGACTATGACAGTAGAAAATCTTTCATTTAAAGAAGCTCAAAAGAAAGTAACATTTATATTAGGAAATAGATTTGAACTTTTAAATAATTATAATGAAGACTTTCTTATTATATCCCATAAAAATAAGAATAAAAATAATTACACAATCAATAACTCTGATACAAATAACTTCATTCACAGCATTATTCCTTATTCAAAAGTTATTAAAAAAACAAATCATAACAGATTAAGAGCAGAAGCTAACGCGTACAAAACAATACAGCATGGAAAGATTCTATTCAAACTCAAAGTTCTGATTCTATTCCTATTGATAATAAAGAAATTGTCAATACTCAAAATACTTTCGATGAAATAAATGAAGCAATAACTAAACTTCTTTCAAATAATATTGAAGACAGATTAAATTATAATACTATGGAACTTTTTAATTATATACGATTTACTTTAATTAAAATTAATAATATTTTTAATAATACTTTAATTAATAATAATGAAAATGATGAAAATTCTACGAAGAATTATTAGAACTTTGTTTAACAAATAATAACATTGATATTGCAATTTTATCAGAAACTTGGCTTAATAATAATACAGATACTAGTATTTATAACTATAATTATACTTTTATTAACCGGAATTTATTTGAAGAGAAGTATTACATTTTTTACATATAGAATTAATAGTAATATAGAAAACATTGGGATTACTACACTTAATTTAAAGATTTATATATTGCGCACCAAATATTTCAAATCAAATTTTTAAAAATTAATTAGAAAAAAATTAAATTTTACCAGACATCTTAAAAATATAACTCTTATTGGAGGAGATCTATATGCAAAAGCTCCTAGTTGGGATAGACATTCTACAAATTACAAAAGAAACTATTCTTGAAAATATTGCATCTGATTATATTTTTTTTGTCTGAATGACGGTTCTCCTACTTTTTCTACCAATATCCTTTCAACTTCAGCTATAGATGTATCTTTTATTAATACAAACATAAATTATAATTGGCAAGTATTACTTAAATTAACTAACAGCAATCCTAACCCAATTATACTAACTTTTAATGAAATTTTCAAAATATATCATGAATCAAAATTACTTAATAAACAATTATTTAAAGATATGAATAATCTTAAAGTGGGAGACAATTTAGAAGATTTTACAAATTCTTGCCAAAATATAATTTAAAGGAACATAATTCAAATAAATTCTTCAAATAAGTATGTTCCAAAGCAATGGTGGACTGAAACTTCTAATAAACTTTTTAGATTAAGAAATGCGGCTCGTAAAAAATAGCATCGATATAAAACTATTAAAAATTGTGAATTATTAGCTTTGGCTGAAAAAAAATCTTTCTGATCATATTGAAACTCAAAAACAAAATCATTTTAATGATCTTATCAATCAAATTTCAAATCCGTCAAATTCAAAAGAAATGTGGTCTAAAATTAAAAATCTTAAAAAATATAAATTCGATAAAAAAGTAAATAATTCCTGGGAATCACAAGATAAAATTAAATATTAATCATTTATTTCTAGACAAAATAACACTCAAATTAATAATAATAAGGCTTTTAATATGATTGATGAATTATTAAACGAAGTGAATTTGGAAAATTTTCGAAAATTCTTAAATAGCAGAAATCTTAATTCAGCAAGAGGAAATGATTCTATTTTATATCAAATGTTATCTCAATTAAGTGAAGAAAAAAATAAACTTTTCAAAATTTGAATTAATACTTGAAATAATGGTATTTTTCCAGAAACTTGGAGATAAATTAAAATAGTTCCTATACAAAAGGCAAATATTGATATTTCGAATATTTTAAATTATAGACCAATTTGTCTAATGTCTGTTCTAGCAAAAACTCTTGAAGGTATTTTGAAATTTTATATTGAAAATCATATTTCTTTTCATAATATTTTACCAGACAGCTCATACGGTTTTCGAAAACATCGATCAACATCTCAATGCTTGAACGATTTAATTAATACAATATTTACACTTAAAGAAAAAAATTTCCAAGTAATGGCTGCCTGAAAAGGCATATGATTCAGTTGATATTTATATATTACAAAATATGCTTATTAACTTTAATTTCAATAGAAAAGTAATTAATTGGATTTTTTCTTTTCTCAAAAAACGTTATTTAATTTTAGAAAATGAAAAAATTACAACACAAAACGGTTTGGCTCAAGGTAGTGGCCTTAGTCCTTCTTCTTTTTAATCTACTATATACAATTCATCTACATTTCATAACAAATCAAAATTGTAAAATTTTTCCATTTTCTGATGATTTTTTCATAGTTTGTTCACATCCCAAACAAAATCAAACCAAGCAATTATTAAAAGACAAAATTAACCAATTTAATATTGAATGTAATAAAATTAACTTAAACAAAAATTTTCTCAAAACTAAAGTAATATATTTTAACCAAAGAAACTCTCAAATTAATATTCAAATTAATAATATTAATATTGAACAAGTACGTAAATCTTGGTAGAATTATTAACATAAGTAATGCATCAAATCAAATCACTGAGAAAACAAATAAAACGTGTCGTTTCCTTACTATTATTAGTGGTTGTAAATTTGGAATACACCCTTCGAAAGCACTTCAACTTTACAAAGCTTTTGCTCGTTCCAAAATGGATTATGCTTGTTAAACTTTTGCCAATATATATATCCCAGTCTGCTTTACAACAGCTTAATACTTGCTGCAATGCAAATATCAGGCGTAGTCTAGGTCTTATTAGATATACTCCTACTCATATTATTTATCATATGGCATCAGAATTACCATAAAAATTTCGTTCTGAATTGACAACAGCTAAAGAACTAATGAAATGCATTGCATATAACTTACCAATAAAAGACACAAAACTAGTTATTTTAAAATATATGTATAATAAATTTAAATAAATTTTTTTGTAATATAGATTTAGTTCCAGATACTCCCCTTAATTCTCCAAAAATTAAATGTGATACATTTTTTTTTAAAGATCAAAACAATAATCAAGATTTAATTTATAAATTATATATTGAAAAACTCAAAAATCTTGAACAACAAAATTTTGAAATAATATATACAGATGGTTCTATTAAAAATAACCAAACCCTTTTTGCTTTTTTACACGAGAAATCTTCAACTGAAAAATCCTTTTTCTGTGACCAAAAAATGTCATCAATGTCAGCTGAACTTTAGCGCTTTATCAATAATTAATCAATCCAAAAAAGTTGCCATTCTTACATACAGTTTAAGTAGTCTAATGACCCTCTCAAATGAGAATTGTAATAATTATATAGCAAAAAAAAAATGATAACGGATCTTAATAATTAATCAATTGAAATTTAAGAATTACATCATATCCCAGCCCATAGTAGTATTGAATTAAACGTAAAAGTGGATAAAGCAGCTTCCACTGCTTTACAGAATGGACAAAGAAGTCAAAGTTTATGTTTCCTTTTTGGTTGTTGTTGTTTCCGACAGGGTGGGTGTATGATGTATTTTGGAACGAATTTCCCTCATCGCTTGTCAAAATTATGGTCATCAAAGTTTATGGTCTGTTAAATAAATAAAGAGTGGCAAGAATTTTACTCTAATAATATTATAACTAAGGGAAAATCTTATGGAGAAATATTTCCAAACATTAAGAATAAACCTTGGTTTCATAAAAATTCAAGTAAAATGACACCAATACAAGTTAAACAAATTAATAGAATTCTAACAAATCACATGTTCTGCAAGGAGACATTATCCAAAAAGTATATTTTTCAAAATCCAAATTGCGAATTTTGTAATACAGTTGAAAATACTGAACATATAATTTTCAAATGTAACAAATATAACAATTCACGTGATAAATACCCAATACTCAAAAATACTTCATCATTAATTGAATTTCATCAAAATACTAATGGCAAAGCATATAAATCTATCACTAATTTTTTAAAGGACATTGAAATTAATTTATAATTTTATAAATTAATCTAAAATTGGAGGTGACGTTTTAAGCCTTTTTGCTGGCCAATTCATTCTTCTTATAAAGAATTAGGAAGTAACTTTAAATTACAAAAAAAAAAAATTTTATTTGTTTACCAATAGGCGAAAAGAAAACACTACCAATCTACCGAAATGGCCTCTAAAGTTATTCATTGTAAAGTAATCTCTATGTGGGTGCTCATTTCTTAAACCACCTTTTAATTTATTTTTCAGATTCTCGTCTCAGAAGCCAACACAAGTGTAGGCGATGAACACACAGTTCTCTTGCATAATATTTTAGAAGGCTACAAAGAGCTGCCAACTCATTCGCAAACAGGAAAATGCAGCATCGATCCTTTTTGTATCGATGATGATAAGAGATCCCAACAACAATGAATTGTGTGAAAATTATGAATATTCTAAATAAAGAAGACTGTGTAAAATTATAATAGCATAATTTGCTTTTAAACTTACCTTGGTGCTGAATTTGCTGAGGTAAAATAAATTAACTTTAAAATTAAAAATGTCAAAATAAGTTCAATAAAAAAGACAATATTTAAAATTTTTCCACATTTATTATACACGCAAATATTATTCCGTACTTTAGAAGAGTTGACATAAATTTGTATGCATGAATGTAGTAATTTGTATGTTTAATAATTCCTCTTATCTTTTCTTACGATAATTTAACCCAAGTTTCCCACTTGTACATGTTTTGAGAGTATATATGTATGTATATTAAAAATATTTGGTTTTTCTGTACGTAAATCAGTTGATTTTCTTGCCGAAAAATAATTAAACCGGTTATAGGACTGCTATTCAAGTGAGACAGAGGTCAGAGAAATTCTATTTATGCATGTACAAGATACTTTGGACTTAATTTCACAATTAGAAGTACGTTAAAGTTTATTTCTAGTTTAAAATTCTTTTGTTGACAAGTTTCTGCCTTTTACTTTTTCACGAAGGTACAGTTTCTAGTGTAAATTTCATTAAGTTATTATGCTACATATTTTACGACTAGAAATATATGTATAGTAAATAAGTGAAACGATTTTAAGTAATATTGTAAATAGTAATATGTATATAAAGTTGTGTTTAGATATTTTATATTCGACTGCAAGTACTCAAGTTGCAACTAATTTAATTAAAGTAATTACATAGTATGTAAGTACGATATTGGCTTCAATTATTTTCTTTGCCTTAAGAAGTACATACTTTTCGTCCACTTGTTAGGGAAGTTTACTTAAAACATACATAAATTGCATGCCATTTTGTCTGGCTTGTATATGTATGTTTGTCAGTATGCATGTATGCATTTGTAATTATAATACTAAAGTAGTTTATAAAAATAATCAAACTGCCTACAACTTTTTGTTGCCCCATACAATATTTGGCAATGCTCCTAACTGTAGCAAACAATTTTTAATTAATAAAATTAATAATACAACTTATTTTTATCTATTTATGTATGCATATGTTACATATGCAAATAAGTTAACTTAATTAGTTAAAATTCAGTCGTTTTTGAGCTTTTGCTTTCCCCTTTGATATTATTATACATATTAAACTTTATAAATATGTATGCAATTAATGTTGTGTTATGATTATATTTACATAAGGTGGATGTACATGTACAGTCGTTAAAGAAATTTATTATAAAATACATTTTTATTGTAGTATAAGTAAAAAAAAAAATCAAACTCAATTAAACGTCATACAAATCATTGCGCTGGTAATTTCTGTAATAAAAAATTTAATTTATAAAGTTCTGTCAGACGTGGCAATATTTCCAACTTTTCCACGCAATTGGCTGCCAAATTGAGAAAGAGAAATTTTATTTTCTCGTGTGAACATCCAGAAAGAAAAGGATCAGTTTTTTTTTGCAAGGTTAACACCTTTGCAGCACGCTTTCGAAAATATATTTCAACGTGCCCGTTCGTGCTGCGTGTTGTTGAAATATAATGAAACGGCGAAGAGAATTTATCGACTATATATACCGAGATATTTCCGATGTTTTTGTTGTTGTAACGGCATACAAATTCCCAAAAGAGTTTTTGGGGAGTGTTGCTGGAGCGACAGTCCTTGGCTAGATCTAAATCTGAGTCGTCCCGACTGTCCGATTTCCGATAAATGCCGATGTCATATTAACGTTTTTATTTCGTTTTCATACAATAACACCAACGAGAATATACCCAAATAACATAATTTCTGTGTGCCTTTTTTCCTATTTTTTGGCCTAATAACAGTTTTTTTTTTAATTTAAAACGGCCTCAACAGATTAAAATGTATTTAAGACAAAAATCATTTAAAATACCTTCATTTAAAAATTTAAATTTATGTGCGTATGAATCCAAGTGTGTGTGTGTATACACTCATATACATATATGTAAGTGATATTTTTGATTATCTTATAGTATTGTTAAGATCGGCGGTATGAACATATTTACATACATTTAGTATCTAAGTAGTAGTATGTTCACCCAAGAGATTTGATTGCATACGCAAAATATGGGAATTCCCTGTAAAAGAATTTTCGAATATGGCGTTTTTTTCGGGGTAAAAATGGACTTGCAATTAGATTTTTCTACACTACGATACACACGTGTATTTATGTAAGTTATACTAATATTTATAAAGTGCAAATATCATTAGATTAATTCAGAAATATACATAACCTCTCAGGTATGGATTGAAAGATGTTCTCAAAGAACTTAAAAACTTATTTATTACTTATGATGTGTATATAAATATCGTTAGCTTAATATAGAAAGGCTCCATCTAGAATGTTTATGCCTTCACAGAATAGTTACACAGATAATGACTTTGTGATGTAGTAGTTGTTTTAAGATTGGATTAGGCCTTTAGTGAGTAATCTACCGACTTTTATACAAAGCTGAATATCGAAGGAAAATGAGTAAGGGCCTTTTTGCATTGAGGTATCGATATGTATGTATGTATGTATGTAATATGTCAATTTGTCATTTCCACATTAAGCTAACGATAAACGGTCATACGACTTTTCGACTTCTACACCAAAATATATTGATTGTCTCTTAGATACACGAAATATACAAATAGATTTATAGATATAAACGTAATAATTAGGTACATTAATTTAATTAACTACTTTTAGTTAAATTTTCAATTGTCTATACGTTTCAACAATCCATAAAAATAATTGTCTAATACGTAGTGTTACGGTGAAGTTACTTGTTTCAGGCTAGCTTCGAAAAGACAGTTCACAGCGGTTTTTTTTTTAGAGATACATACATACATAAGTTCACAATTTTTAGGTAGTTATCATCTTTTTATTGTTACGTTTTTGGACATTTTAGTGCTGTAAAATTGACAGAGTATCTGTATATGAATACAATTTATATAATACTTATACTTACATATCTATTTTGCAATATACATAGTTTTATGGTTCGTTCGCTGCTATACGTTGACCACAAAATATGTTTAACAGTTTTTATTAAATTTTGTATGCTTTAACTGCGTCTGTTGATTTAAATATTGCAAATCTCTAACAGCAATAAAATTTCACCATTTCAACTTTAAATATAAATACACATGTATGTATGTATGTAGGCATTCTGTTGTTTGTTTGTTTTTCAAATTGGTTATTTCACAACAATTGTTTTTAGTTTTGCATGGACTTGTAATGTTCAATTTGAAGGTCACGTACGCATAAAGTGCATTTTGGTTGTTTTGTAATTTTCTCAACACTAAAATGTGCACATTTAACTAGTTATAGTTTTAATACCTTTTGTTGTTTTGTTTTGTTTTATTACCGGAAATGGCCTATTTCATACATTTATACATTAAACTCATATATATATCTGTGTATCTGTGATGTATGTATGCACGTATATACTAACTAGCTAGATACATATAAATACATATGTATTTGGGTAGGGACCTGCCCTGCCATTGGGTATTGATTTATTTAAGCTCAGTAGTATTAGTTGTGGTGTTAATGACAATGATGTTAAATTAAACCTCAGTACGTAAGTAAGTGTATATTTATGTACATATATTGTACATTAAATGCAGTGTATTTTCTATTTTAAATACTTATCAATTTTTATCTTCACCCTTTTCCTATTATATTGTAGTGTGTACGTCAATATGCATTAATGCTTTTTGGTGTTAAACTACTTTTAAACTAAATTTTTTTAAATGATTTATGCAATAAACAAAACTCTACGTCTGATATGAAAAAGAACACTTCATATGTACGTACACTTAACAGCAAAAGTCTGCGTACACCATTACTTTTTTTTAAATATATTTACAATATTTTGCAAGCTAAAATTTGTTTGACATTCATAAGAACGTGGATCATGCTTAAAACAAAATCACATAAACCAACTTTTTAAAAAAAATTTAACTCGTACTTTGTATGGAGGAAAATGCGTAGAACCGGCAAAAAAAAATTAAAAAATTCAACGCGATTTCTAAGCCACTTAATTTTTACATATTATTATACTAAAATTGAATGGGCTATAATATAAAAGTGCGTACTCGAAAAAGAAAAAGATTAAAAAGTTGAAAATTTTGATGAAAATTTGTTGAATTTTCCTTAATTTTGTACAAAGCTTGAAACCTTGTTTTATATGATTTTGTTGTTAGCATGATCCATATTTTTATATAAAAGAAATAATAATAAACAAATTTTAGCTTGCAAATATTGTGAAAATTTAAAATAGAAATGGTGTACGCAGACTTTTACTTTTAAGTGTACATATGGGAGTGTCCATAAATCACGTGATCGTTTTAGGAGAAAAGGGGGTTGTTTATTTATTTTTACCGGAGCTTCATCGATCACACGTACGACATTTAATTTATATGTGCTTTATTTTACTTAAATCTTTTATTGAAATAAATGAATGAATCAAGGTAGTAGCATTTGAATAAAAACAACATTTACGTGTATTTTGTTGTTCCTTCTAGTCTCTAAACTGTCAAAAAAGTATTCTGATTTTTTTTTAACATAAAAGTCAACCATGTAACATACAAAAAAAAAATTAAAAAACAAACAAAAAAAAAATTGCTGTAACTTTCTTGGTAAATGTGTTTGCCTCCAGAGTTTGGGCTCCTGACCAAAAACTGATTTTCAATCGCTTCTTTTGTAGGTAACAAGATTTTACATGGAAATAAATTTGGACAACTTGGAATTTTTATAAAACTAAATTAAAAAGGTTTGACATTTTAGAGATGATGTAATTTGAAAAATGAAATCAGTTGCCACTACCGGTTCAATATGCCTTGGAATAATCTAACATTTTAGTTTTCAGTTTAAAGTTAAGTATCCAGCTTTCAAGAAAAGCAAAAACTCCATATAAAACGACTCACAATAAAAGGCTAAGCAATTCTCTTATGTCAAATTTCTTTAAGGCAGCACGCAGCTCTTAAGAAATTTGCTACGCTTTCTACTATGGGTTTCTAAAGTTTTTTTTTGTGAAAAAATAGCACAAGGCAACCCATGTTTTGCAAAATAAAATATATGACCGTTCCATTATTTCTTGAGGAAAAGTGAGGCAACCGGCTGTGAAATACGAGATGTCAAAATTCC